ATCTCTCTGAGAAAGACTCCTCCATTTCCTCCATTTTTCTCTGCTTTTTCTTTCCTGGAGGTACGTATACCAGGCCTTCCCATTTGCCTGACTTCTCCTCCTCCTGGTTTTTGTTTACACTTGCTATGACTTTTGACATAAATTTGGCTTCATCATCAAACTCAGATTTCTTTCTTCCCTTAGCTTTGTCCTTATTTTGGTCATCCATCTCCTCCTTGTGGAAGTCAGCCATCTTCTTCTCAAAGTTATCTGGCAGCTTATACCTTTTGGGGGATTGACTGCCCGGGAAAGACTTCTCAGCATCAGTTTTGGGAGCAAACGGATCAGATTTCATTTTTGTATCACCCAAGCCTGTGTCAGAGAGGCTTGCTTTTTCTTTCATTTTCTCTTTATCAGTATTTGTTTGTTTCTGTTCCTTATCTTTTCCATTCCCTGTCTTCTGCTCATCTAGATACCTTTTTGTATAGGCCGCTCCTCCTGAAGCAGCAGTCTCCTCCTTCTGAGATGAGCCATACATGGAGCCAGTGGCTGGCAGACTCTTACCCATAGGGCTCTTTTTGGATCGACTCAAGGACCCAGAGCCATGGTCATACTGACCTTGGTGTGTCCCAGCCTGATATCCAGCACCACTTGACAGAGTTGAGCCCATCTGGGATGCATTGGAGAGTGGAGGGCTAGGCTTTGGCACAGGGCTAGGATAGGGTGATCACCGCTTCACCACCACAGACTGGAGAGGGCTTTTGAGAGCAAGGCTTCACCCTAGGAGACTCAGGTAGGAAGAAGCTGAGGCCCTTGATGTAGAACCAGTGCCATAGGTGGTGGCATCTGACCATGGCTTCGAGCTGTCAGATGATTTTGTATCTTGGAAGATGCCTCCAGAGAATGTCTGCTCCATGGCCTCATCACCCTGGTTATCCCCAGCAGCCTGAGATGGCTGACTATCTTTGGAAGTGAACTTTTTCTCCTTTGCAGATTCGTGCTTAGAAGATTCAACTTGGCTGTGGTTGCAGGAAAAACAAGAGGATGACGAGTGCCTTGACCTGTCAGAGGAATACTTATCGGAGTTTCTAGAATGGCTCTTGGAACTTGGTGAAGGGGACCTTCTCTTTTGGGACCAGGATCGGGAACAGCCCGGACAAGGACCGTAGGCTTGCCAGTAATTCTGCCATTTGAGCGGTAGTTTCCATAGCCTCCTCAGTTACCTCTTTTCTTTTAAATTAAATTATTTTCATAATTTATTTTATTTTGTTGTTGTTGAGAATATATACAGCAAAAAGATACACCAATTCAAGTTTCTACATGTACAATTCAGTGACACTGATTACATTCTTTGAGTTATGCAACCATTCTCACCCTCATTTTCTGAGTTGTTCCTGCCCCATTAGCATAAACTCACTGCCCTCTAAGGTTCCTATCTAATCTTTTGAGTTGCTGTTTTCAATTTGATTCCATATAGATAAATCTTAAAAGAGTATAATACTCAAGGCAGACATTCTTTACTTGCTAAGCTAAACTACTGTTTGGTTTTAAGAAGACTTCAGGAGATATTTTTGGTTTAAGGTTTAAAGCTTATCTTATGGAAGTAGTATTGGGTCTATCCAGTCTCCATGTCTCCAGAAAGTCTAGATTCCATGAGAATTTCAAATTCTGTTCTGCATTTTCTTCCTTTGGAGCAGGATTCTTCTATAAATCTTTGAATAAAAGGTTCAGTAACGGTAGCCAGGTACTATCCAGTTCTTCTGGTCTCATGGCAAAGGAGGCAGTTGTTTATGGAGACAATTAGTCACACATTCCATTTTTTCCTCCAATTCCTGATTCTCCTTCTTTCTATGTTGGTCCATGTGAATAGAGACCAATTATTGTGCCTTGGATGTTCTTTAACTCTTATAACAGGTTCTGACTTAATGTCTATTTTGTCTGATGTAAAGTTTATTTTGTCTGATATGAAGGCAAAGGTGGTAAATTCCACACACATAGGAAGAGAGCTCTGAAACTGAGCAGCAAAAAGTGTGAAAATAACATGTCCATTAATGGGATAATATGTGTGTTAAAATAGCTAGGGAGAGAATATTGGGAGGTTTGGGACTAAGCCTTGAAGAACTCCACAATGTAGTTACTAACTACATTGAAGATAAACAAATCCTTAGATGAGAATAAAAAGGAGAAATCAGAAACATAGGAAACAAGGCAGCAGACAAGTTATGATGAAAGCAGTGGAAGAAAATGCCTCAAAAAGCAAGAGTTGGTCAAGAGTTTAAGATGCAGTTGAGAGGTCCACTAAGAAACTCTATTGTGAGTACAAAATTTCTCTGAAGTTCATGTTTTGTTTTTAAAGTTCAATCACAATCGGACCAAATATTCCCTTGTAACTGAAGCACGTGTTCCTTTTCATCTAGTTTAATATGCATGATATCATCTCTGCAAAGGATCAGTGTGGAATTCTGTAGGATGTCAGGATGATGAATTTCTCCACAAAGCCATGCACAACGCTAAAGCGCTGACATATATCTGATCCTTACAAATTACCATACAGAAAAAGCATTTTCTAGATAAATTGTTGCATACCAGGTGCAAGAAACTGTGTTCAGTTGCTCCAGTAAAGATACGACAGCAGTTGCAATTGGAATCACAAATTGATTAATGTACGCCCACAGTGATTTCTCCAAGATTTATTCACTTCCTTCACTGGCTAACCAGGCAAATTTAAATGGAAGATATAATCAGAATCACCACTACTTCCATTTTGAAGTCATTGGTGGTGGCGTTCAACCCTTCAGGAATGTGATGTTGCTTTGGGGTTACTAATTTGATAAAGAAGTTTCTCCTTGGACTGTTCTTCCATAATAGCACTCACTCTGCAAGTCAGAGAGCCATAGCGAATACAGTGCTGAACATGTATATTCCATTTATGCATTTGTCATAGTAAAACAGCAGACTTACACTCTTGCTAGAAATAAAAATGAAGATTTTTATTGAAGAATAAATGTTTCATGAAATGGGGAACAGACATGCATTCAGACAGGATGCTATAGTGTGTTCCCCATTGCAGGGAGTACATTGAGGTTTTTATTAAGCAGAGCAAACAAAAGACCATGGGGTTGTAGGCACCAAGGAGGGTACAAGGAAAGGAAAAAAGTTACAAGAGGTTTGTCAAACTACATTAACATTAATCTCTAACCTAACATTAATCTCTTACCTCCTGGAACATGTTTGACCAAGACTTCTTAACAGCAGCAAGTCTATTTGTGAATATCCTGGAGAACAATTGAGTCAACTCTCTACAGGTTTGCCTCTTCCTCTTATCTTAAAGTCTATCTTAGTTACAGGTTTACAAGGAGTCAGCAGAAACAGAGCAAAGACCTCAGTGAGTGATTTAGGATGAAGCCTAATTTAAAATACTCTAATTTAAGGGAGTCAAAGTAGAAATTTAGGGACTATAGGGTTAAATCTTGGTTACGAGTTACAAGACAATAGCAGGGCTTCATCTTTACTTAACATTATCAATTCTATTTCCTAACCTCCTGGGAAATGTTGACTAAAACAATTTCTCTAGGGCAAGCTTCAGAAACATTCTTGACAACCATCTTTTAACAGTCAACACCTCATACAACCTAAAGCCCAGACCCTTGCTTCTTTTATGTTATAAACAGTTAAACTTTTATAACAAACTAAATTGTCTTGTCAGAAGAATAGAATTAAAGATTCCAGGCCTAGCTACAGCTTAATTTAAAATGTAGTTTTTAATTTTAGTTCTGGGGCAGCTATGTAGTTATGCCAAAGTGCCTCAGTTTCAAGGTTTGCTTACTCATATTTAAGAACTGGGAATATAACCACTATATGAGTCTGCAGGTTCACTGAGCCCATTGTGAGAATAGTTCAGCCCAAAACTTCTTTAATTACCTATTCTCCAGAAGGCCCCACTTTAAGCAGTAAAGAAAATGACATTTTGAGTATCTAGGTTTACGTATTAACTCAGATCTCAGTATCTAATAACACCCAGAAAGCTATCCAAGTAAATGGTCTCAGATCCCATTAAGGAAGATTTGGAAAAGGATTGTAGCATATATAATGTTATCAGAAACTTCTTAAAGGGAATCTGGGCTAGTATGCAATCAAGGCACCTCAGGTCTGTGGAGAGCTTCGATCTTAACATTGTATGAGAGGCCATTATTCTCCACTGTGTAGTGATTCAATTCAGGCTTCTGTGAATCAGAAGAAGATAAAAGATGGCCACAAATGCTTTGACATTCCTCCCATTGGCAGAACTAAAACTATTCCTATTCACAGATGATCTGATCTTATGCATAGAGAGGCCCAAAGATTCCACAAGAAAAACTACCAAAACTAATAGCAAGATTAAGCAGGGTAGCAGGATATAAGATCAACATAAAAAAATAAGTTGGATTCCTATACATCAACAAAGAGAACTTTGCAAAGGAAACCAGGAAAACAATACCTTTTATAATAGCCCAGAAAATGTAAAATACTTAGGAATAAATTTAACTAAGGACGTAAAAGACCTATATAAAGAAAACTACAAAACACTATTGCAAGAAACCTACATAAATGGAAAAATGTACCATGTTCATGGATAAGAAGACTCAGCATTGTGAAAATGTTGATACTAACTAAAGTGATCTACAGATATGATGCAATCCTGATCCAAATACCAACAGCATTCTTTAATGAGATAGAAAAACTAATTTACCAACTTTATATGGAAAGTAAAGAAGTCCTGGATAAACGAAGCATTATTGAAGAAAAAAAGAAAGTAGGAGGCCTTACACTACCTGATCTCACAACGTACTATACGGCCACAATAGTCAAAATAGCCTGGTACTGGTACAACAACAGACATATAGACCAATGAAACAGAACTGAGAACCCAGAAGTAAATCCATCCACCTATGGTCAGCGATCTTTGACAAAGGCACAAAGTCCATTAAATGGGGAAAAGATAGTCTTTTAAACAAATGCTGCTGCCAAAACTGGATGTTCACTGCAGTCAAGTCAAATTCAGCACCTACTCCTATCATAGTGGGGGGCTGGCTCAGATGGCTGTCACAGCAAACTCTGCCATAGTAGCTCATAGGCCCCTGGTCCTCTGAACTGGGAGCTGAGGATCAGTTGGTTACAGACACTGTGCCCCAGGTACAGGAGCTCCCTGGGACGTGGATAAGAGGCCGGCCTTGCACAGACAAGGCCTGTGTTGAGTAAGCTCAGGCTCAGTTGCTGTCTCGCAGGGGCTACACTGGATGGGACCCTTGTCCCCAGCTCTTCCCTGGCATCTCAGGCCATAAAGCTGAATCCCAGCTCCCTGCATCTAAAAAAAAAAAAACTTGATGTCCATCTGTAAAAAAATCAAACAGGACCCATACACAAAAACTGACTCAAAATGGATCAAACAGCTAAATATAAACCTAAAATGATAAAGATCATGGAAGAAAAAATAGGGAAAATGCTAGGGACACTAATACATGGCATAAATATGATACAAACCATAACTAACAATGCAGAAACCCCTGAAAATAAACTAGATAACTGGGAGCACCTAAAAATCAAACATTTCTGCTCATCAAAAGACTTCACCAAAACAGTAAAAAGAAAACCTACAGACTGGGAAAAAAATTTTGTCTATGACTTATCCAATAAGGATTTAATCTCTAAAATCTATAGAGAAGTTTAAAACCTCAATAATGAAAAGAAAAGCAATCCAATTAAAAAATGGGCGAAGGATATGAACAGACACTTCCCCAAAGAAGACATTCAGGCAGCTAATAGACACATGAGGAAATGCTCACGATCATTAGCTGTGATGGTTAAGGTTGTATACCAGCTTGGCTGGGCCATGATCCTCAGTACTTTGGCAGTTATGATGTAGTCTGGCAGCTTTTTAATGATATAATCACCTCCATAATGAGATCTGATATACTGTGATCACCTCTGTGATGAGATCTGCTGTGAGCAGCCAACCAGTTGAAAGGGACTTCCCTTGGGGGTGTAGCCTGCATCTAACATAGGTAGACTTTTTGGCAAGGCCTGCTGGCTTTTGCTCTCTCTGGATCCTGTAGCTGGCTCCTGTTCATCCGACCCGCGGCTCTTCGAACTTGAGTTAGCAGCTTACCTGTTGTCTTACCTGCCTATCTTGGGATTTGTTGGGCTTCACAGTCTGTGAGCCAGAGGCCTGCTGGCTGACCTTCTGATCTTGGATTTACCAGCACCTGCAGCTACATGAGTTAGGAGAAGCCTCCAGCCTGACCCATGGACTTGGGACTTTCCAGTCTCTACAACTGCTGGAGCCATTTCCTTTAGATAAATCTCTTTTTATATATATGTCTTAGCTATCTAGTGCTACTATAACAAAAATACCACAAGTGGATGGCTTTAACAAACAGAAATTTATTCCCTCACAGTCTAGGAGGATAGAAGTCCAAATTTAGGGTGTCAGCTCCAGGGGAAGACTTTCTGTCTTTGTCGACTCTGGGGAAAGGTCCTTGTCATCATTCTTCCCCTTGTCTAGGAGCTTCTCAGCACAGGAACCCCAGATCCAAAGGATGCTCTCTGCTCCTGGTGCTGCTTTCTTGGTGATACGAAGCCCCTTGTCTCTCTGCTCCCTTCTCTATTTTATATCTCAAAAGAGATTGACTCAAGATACAACCTTATCTTGTAATTTGAGTCCTGTCTCATTAACATAACTGCTTCTAATCCTGTCTCACTAACATCATAGAGGAAGGATTTACAACACATAGGAAAATCACATCAGATGACAAAATTGTGGACAATTATACAATACTGGGAATCATGGCCTAGCCAAGTTGACACACCTTTTTGGGGGGACACAATCAATTTATAACAATATACTTATATGCTGCACTGGTTTTGCTTCTCTAGAGAACTCAGCCTAAGACATTAGCCATTAGAGAAATGCAGATCAAAACTACAATGAAATACCATCTCACCTGACATTACTGGCACTAATCAAAAAAACAGAAAATAAAAAATGTTGGAGGTTGCTGGGAGATTGGAAGCCTTACACACTGCTGGTGGCAATGTAAAACAGTACAACCACTACCGAAAATGATATGGCACCTCCTTAAAAAGCTAGAAACAGAAATACCATGCGATCCAGCAATCCTACTCCTAGTAATATATCCTAGAGAAGTAAGAGTTGTCACGTGAATAGATATATGCACACTCAACATTATTCACAATAGCAAGAAGATGGAAACAACCTAAGTGTCCATCAACAGATGAATGGATAAACAAATTATGGTACATACACACAAGGGAATACTATGCAACGATAAAAGACAATGATGCATCCTGGAAACATTTCACAACATGGATGAATCTGGAGGGCATTATGCTGAGTGAAATAAGCCAATCACAAAAGGACAAATATTGTATGAGGCCACTATTATTAAAAACCCAAGAAAGGGTTTACACACAGAAAAAGACAATCTTTGATGGTTACAAGAGAGGGGAGGGGTGGGGAGGGGAAATCACTAACTAGGTAGTAGACAAATGTTAACTTTGGTGAGAGGAAACACAACACACAATATAGGGGAAATCAGCACAACTTGACCAAAGCAAAGTCACAGAAGCTTCCTAGACACATCCAGTATCCTGAGGGACTGATTTACTAGGGCTGAGGGCTGGGAATTATGGTCTCAGGGGACATCAAGGTCAATTGGCATAACGCAGTTCATAAAGAAAATATTCTACATCCTATTTTGGTGAGTAATGTCTGGGGTTGTAAAAGCTTGTGAGGGGCCATCTAAAATACATCTATAGGTCCCATCGTGTTCAGAGCAAAGGAGAATGAAGAAAACAAGACACAAGGAAAATAATCGTCCAAATGCTATTGGACCACATGCATCACAGCCTTCACCAGACTGAGCCCAGAAGAACTAGATGGTGCCTGGATAACACTGACTGCTCTAACAGGGTTCACGATAAAGGATTCCAGACAGAGTGGGAGAAAAATGTAGAACAAAATTCAAACTCACAAAAATAGACCAGATTTACTGGTCTGACAGAGAGTGGAGGAACGTGAGACAATGTCCCCAGACACCCTGCTAACTCAGAACTGAAGCCACCCCCAAAGTCTACCATTCAGCTAAAGATTAACCTGTTGCCATCAAGTCGATTCTGGCTCATAGCGACCCTATAGGACAGAGTAGAAGTGCCCCAAAATGTTTCCAAGGAGTGGCTGGTGGATTCGAACTGCTGTCCTTTTGGTTAGTGGCTCTTAACCACTGTGCCACCAGGCTCCAGCCAAAGATTAGACAAGCCTATAAAATAAACAATAACACATGTGAGGAATGTGCTTCTTAGTTCTATCAAGTATAAGAGACCAAATGGGAAATACCTGTACAAAAGCAAAGATGAAGAGGCAGGAATGAACAGGAAAACTGAATGAATGGACATGGAGAACTGGGGTGGTAAGGGAAAGGGGGAGAGTGCTGACACATTGCAGAGATTGTAACCAATGTCACAAAACAATTGGTGCACAAATTTTTGAATGAGAAACTAATTTGCTCTGTAAACTTTCACCTAAAGCACACACACACACAAACTAAAAAATAAAAAAGAAGGAAATATGAAAAAAAATTGTTTTCTCAGTTCAACTAAGATTTTTTTTTTCACCGAGGCACAGTCTGAAATCCATCATGAGGAAATATTATTGAGAGATAGAGAGAGCTTAATTTTCTATTTAGGCAAACATTCATTTGACAAAGTGAGTTTATTTTTATTTTCTTACCCAGTAATTAAGAAGCCTGGAACCAGCTGGCGCTATTGTGGGGAGTCCTGAAATGGTTCTCGCAGTGGTTCATCAGGAGTCCTGTACCAAGGACCCACTCAATATCAGTGTGGATAACAGAGCTGGGCGGAACTGCGGTAAAGATTTAGCTTTTTTGTGCCACTGAAACAAAACTTTCCCTTTCCCTGAGAGGATTTTAAAAGAACAAAGAACTTAAGATCTGTAAAACCATCTAAAAATGCCTGTTTGATATATCTGCTTTGAAAAGATGTATGTAATTGCTCCATTTGTTTCTGTAATAATACCTTGTGTTAACACTACAAAGAAGTACAAAGTACTTTACAAGTATAGAACCAGAAAGCTTTAGAACACAAACTATCCATAAGCAACAAATTCTTTTTCAGTCCTCTAAAGTTCTATGAGTCAGAATCGACACGATGGCAATGGGTTTGGTTTTTCTGAAGATCCTATAGTACATTAGTATCACTTCAGTGAAGAGATTCTCAGGGAGAATATCAAAATCACATGCAACCTATCCACACCCTCTTAGGGTATATTTAGTTTTACCCTGTAGGGGGATAGAGGAGACTGGGGAGGAGAGGGCATATCTACCACTTACACCCCTACCTCAGATCATTATAAAAACTCATTGCCAAGGTGAGCTCCCATTAAAGAGTTATGCTAGAGGCATCCTGGTTTAGGAAAAAGTTTGAGAATCAGTTTTAGTAGAATGATCTTAACAGAAACAGAAATTTATTAGTGACCAATCATCTCAGTTAATGAGAGTAATGTTCCAATCCTTTCTCCAAAATAATCCACTTCTGTGTTTTTGGACGGAACACAGCACCCATGAATCTAGTCAGTCATTTAAAAAGTGTATTTAGGATCATAAGAAGACCTGGATAAGAGTGAGTGGATCAGGATAATGCCATGCCCATCATTAGCACAATTACTCAGTGTATAAATTTGACTAACAGGATAGTGTTATGTCTGAATATAAAGGATAGGGTATACCTACAGATCACTTAATGAGGGTTAATTTCCTTCATGAAAATTATGTCTGTACTTATTCTATATAGGAAAGACCATTTAGTATTAAAAAGTAGAATTCCAAAATATCTTTGTGTCGGAAAAACTTAAATTAGTCATAATGAGATTCTGGGGAAGTGAGAGGAAGAGGTGATATGCTGAGCTCCCCCACATCCAAAAAAAAAGATTTGTCTATTTTTTGGTTTCTAGTATATGGGCTACGAGAAAAGGAGAGCTTTGAAACAGACAAAGTCAAGGAGTTTGATTCTGGCCATGAGAGGAAGATGGTAGATAAGTTTCAGGGACAAATGGAATCCACTATTAAAGTTTTGGGCAGCTTGGGAGGTATA